TCCCCCCCCCCCCCCCCCCCCCCCCCCCCCCCCCCCCCCCCCCTCGCGCTCCATTGGAGATGCTCTAAGTGCTCAAAGTTAGGGGTTAGTTGTATTTGAAATAGAACCAAGGGACCAAAATAAAAATTGAATAAGGCTTTGGTAGGGTGACGGATCAGATTAATGTGCCATAAGCCACCTATCGCAACCCATATCCAGTGGGTTTTGTGCATTTTTTTCCAGATTTGGTTAAATATATAATAGCAAATACACATGCTACTACTATTATTATATTGCATTTTTCGGAAAATAAATCAGAAATTTCGTAAATTATTTCGAATCGGAAAAAAATCGGAGTTTCGGAAATTGGAAAGAAATTTTATCATCCAAAATCGGATCGAATCGACGGAAATTGAAAATTTCGTTCCGATTTCCACCCCTAGTCATTCATGATTCCCATTTTTCTTTTTTTCCTTTTGTTAAAATCTTAAATCTTAGTGCTGAAAATAAATTTCCTATTATTTAGCAAATATCCTTCTGTAGTGAATTTTGTTTAGCATACAACCAGTAAATTTGGTAGGGGTGGAAACTGGAAAGAATTTTTTAATGGGGTGGCTAAAACTAATACTATTTTTTTCCCACTTCAATACCATTAAGTTTAATATCATATTTTATACCACAAATAATTTTTACATTTTACATTTTTAAATTTTTTTCTTAGATTAATACCACAAATAATTTTTTGGGGCCTTAAGATATAGGTCCCTGGTGACAAAACTTATTAGAACTAAATGACAAGTCCAACTAAACATTTGCTTCACATCCTTTATAAAATTCATTCCAAAAATGCCCCTTCACTCACAAATTCGAAATCAACATTTAGTAAATTCAAACTGCATTTATCTTTTTATTTGTTCTGCACGTTTTTAATTTCTTTTTTTACAGAATATATTTTTTGTCGTTTTCTTTTCTTTTCTCATTTTAGCATTAATACACTATTATTAAAAAAACAATTCTACATAATATTGAAAATTACAAAAACAAATGCATGCTTTTTTTTTTTTTTTTTAAATCCAATATACATATTTTTCAGTAGTAGACAATGGTATACTGTGATATACTATAGTATATTACTATCGTATACTACGGTGTACTATGCTTTACTATGGTGTACTATCAAACCCTAGCTGTCAACAACTCACAGGCATCACCAACCCTAGCAGCCAAACGCAACTGCCGTCAAACTCTAGTGGTTAAACCAAGCAAAATCTCTTCGATTCACAACGCCGTCAGACACTCATAGATGACTAGAGCCATTTTGAAAACCCTACTTTCGCCATTTGGAACCCTAACACCGCTAGCAAACGTAGACCAACCACCGTCGACCCGTCCTCGCCGTGTACGCAATTAAGCCCGCACTTACCATGAATTCACCACAACCAGCCTAGCCACCGCTAAAAAAGAAACGAAAAAGATCTCGCACACATCTCACCATCCCTTACCTGATGCAATCGCCACTTCCCCCGGTCAAGCCAAGTCAGGGATATCGGCGCCGGCGCGCAAGGGCGTCTGACTTAGCCACCACTGTCGGTTGCATATCTGTTATTCCTCTTGCGAATTTTTAAAAACTCAGATCTACTAATTAAAAGAGAAACTCAGATCTGTTGTTCCTCTGCGAATTTTTAAAAACTCAGACCTAATAATTAAAAGAGAAAGAGAAATAAAGCAAAAGAAAGAAAACGAGTGAAGAAATTAAGGCAGGGAAAAATAAGAGAGAGAGAGAGAGAGAGAGAGAGAGAGAGAGAGAGAGAGAGAGAGAGAGAGAGAGAGAGAGAGAAAAGAGGAGAAGTTGGCCGGCGTAAAGGATAGAGGGAGGGGGAGA